AGAGGCGGGGTTTCACCATGTTGACCAGGATGGTCTCGATCTCTTGACCTCGTGATCCACCCACCTCGGCCTCCCAAAGTGCTGGGATTACAGGCTTGAGCCACCGCGCCCGGCCGGTAAGAGGAGTCTTTTTTTTCCCCTTTTCTTTTTTTGAGATGGAGTTTCCCTCTTGTTGCCCAGGCTGGAGTTCAATGGCATGATCTGAGCTCACCAAAAGCTCCGCCACCTGGGTTCATGCAATTCTCCTGCCTCAGCCTCTCAAGTAGCTGGGATTACAGGCTGGCACCACCATGCCCGACTAATTTCGCATTTTTCATAGAGACAGGGTTTCTCCATGTTGGTCAGGCTGGTTTTGAACTTCAAAGCTCAGAAGATCCACTGGCCTCGCCTACCAAAGTACTGGGATTACAGGAGTAAGCTACGGTGTCTTGCTAGAGTTCTTATCCTTACAGAAAATGAGAAAAGAGGTGAAAGCATGGTTTTAATTGTAGTGAATGTTCTGACAAACCTGAGTAAGGGACTTTTCGCCACATTGTGTCTTTGTAGTTGTGTTTTATTACACTTTCTGAAGAAGTCATAACACCCTCTCGGTATGAATTCCTTATGTTTGTAGATAATACAAGATGCACACATACCCAAAATCAATGCAGGATTCCCATTATACAAATGTTAGACACTTTTATTGACGCACCAAGTGACATTGAGTATCTACATGAGACAGGCCATGAGTGATGTCTTCAAAGACGACAGCATCCACAGTGAAAGATCAGAAACTAAAATCTGGCAAGTCGTGGTGGCAAGTGGCTGTAGTCCCAGCTACTCAGGAGTCTGAGGCAGGAGAATTGCTTGAACCCAGAAGGCAGGGGTTGCAGTGATCCAAGATTGCACCACTGCACTTCAGCCTGGGAGACAGAGGGAGACTCCACCTCAAAAAAAGAAATAAATAAAAATATAGCTCTATCCTCTAGGATAAAAAAGAAGTACTGCTCCTATATTTGAGAAAAATCATAACCATTTTTACCAAAAACGCCTGTGTCACAAGCCTCTCTACAGTAACACCACAGTCTGCAGGAGCTCAATGCGTTAAGAATGGTTTAATTAATCTCCTGCTATTTTTTAGGCTCGTTTTATATTCTTAAAATAACGATGGCATAAAACACCTTCTATCATTCATGTCTGTGTGTGAACATTCCATTCTAATGAGTAAGATTTTTGGAGTCAAGAAAACAGTAACTCACTCAATTAGCTAAAAATGTAGTAAAACTTAGGCAGAAAAGATTTCCCCTTATTGGTCTCATTTTCTGGAACTTACCCTGTACTTTGTACAATTAATACATGACTTCCATGGGCAGCTGCTCTACTCCTGGTGTACAGAGAGCTGACGGTGCACCCTGATGTAGCCCCTGAACAATCCCTGCTGCCCAGCAGCTCTGACACCACGGGGCCCACACCCCATCTTCATCCACGTCTGGGGTGAGCCCTTCCCAGGACCATGCCCAGTGCAGTCTCTTCCCAAGCTCATGTCACTGGGTCACGGGAGCTGGAATCTAAGTGAGATAAGGGACTGAGGGAAGGCATGGGTGAGTGCCAGCAAACCTGTCAGGCAGGATGCTTCAGACTCAGAGAAGATTCCCAACTCCAAGGCCCAGCATTTCTGAAAGGAAGGAGACAGAGCATCCACTGAGAATATCATCTCACCTGAGGAAGAGCCATTCCTGACTCCTTTGCTTTCCTCTTCCAAGTTTCTTCCTCACGTATCAAGAGTCATTAGAAGTCAATCCTGAATGTCAAATATGTTGTTTATTGCTCAGAATCAACACACATCCTCCCTGGAACACAACGACACATACAAAGGAGACCTCACCCGGAGGAATTACGGTTCCCTCTGCTGCCCACTGCACCAGCGACGATAAACTCCTACAAGAAAACTAAGTGATTTTTGATCCCTTTCTTCAGAACCCAGTTCCCTCCTGGAGATACCCACACGCAGACTGCATCAGTGGGGAGCTGGGCTAGAATGAGCTCCCCTTCAGGGCACAGACTCAGCCCTCACCAAAGTCCAGGCAGAGGCTGGGTGCGGTGGCCCAGAACTTTAATCCCAGCACTCTGGAAGGCCGAGGGAGGTGGATCATATGAGCACAAGAGTTTGAGACCAGCCTGGGCAACATGGTGAAACCCCATCTCTACCAAAAATACAAACACTTAGCTAGGCATGGTGGTACACATCTCTGTGTCTGTGCTCCCCGCTAATTAGGAGGCTGAAGTGGGAGGATCACTTGAGCCGAGGAGGAGGAGGTTGCAATGAGCCAAGATTGCACCACAGCAGTCCAGCCTGGGTGACAAGAGTGAGACTCTATCTAAAAAAAAATTTTTTCTTTTTTTTTTCTAAGATGGGGTTTCACCAAGATAGCCAGGCTGGTTTTGAACTCCTGGCCTCAGGTGATCCACCCACCTCGGCCTCCCAAAGTGCTAGGATTACAGGCACCACGCCCAGCCAAAAAATATTTTTTTTTAAAAAGCCTGGGTGTGGTCGCTCAGCCCTGTAATCCCAGAACTTTGGGAAGCCAAGGGAGGCAGATTACAAGGTCAGGAGTTCGAGATCAGCTTGACCAAGAAACCATCCCAGCCAATATGGTAAAACCCCAACTCTACTAAAAATACAAAACTTAGTCGTGCGTGGTGGTGGGCACCTGTAATCCCAGCTACTCTGGAGCCTGAGGCAGGAGAATTCCTTAAACCCGGGAGGAGGAGGTTGCAGTGAGCTGAGATCCCACCATTGCACTCCAGCCTGGGTGAAAGATCAAGACTCTGACTCAAAA